ACACCCTGAGACGTCCAATCTTTTCTAAGCTTGTAAAACCAAATGTCTAGCAAGCATTATGCAAATGTTGGTGGTGGCACTACTGCTGTGGAGATCGTTACACACCACCAATAGAAAGTTCCAACGCCAGCGTTATCCAGGTGCTCTACCATCGTTGGCAGAAAAGGGTGTACCTCCTGGAGGATTAGGTTGAAAATAATAAGCAATAAATTCCATCCTCGCAGCAAGTAGGCTCAAAATTTGTCAGCCGCATTTTGTATCTCGGAGTCTCGGGTCAATGGAAACTTTCGTAAATTTGATGCATTTCAGAGACTTTGATCACAAGGGCATGATGCTCATTTATTGCACGGACCAATGGGAACTGAATCCGTGGACTTCATTGGTCACAACTGTGCACAGGATCCTTCAAACCTTCAGAAATTCTTTAAAAGCATTATCAACGGATAACAATATGTGTTTAATTTGCGAGACCTCCACAAATACAATGGGGAAGATAACAAACACTTGTTTGTCGGTCAAGGTGGACTTTAATAAGTCGCTGATGTGAAGAACACCACACAGCCCAAGACTGGCTTACAATACTGGAAACGCCACAGACACCATAATCATGGCATGTGTGGAATTAATAACACGGCTGTGAGTCACAGGTGACGAGAGCGAATAAAATCTTTAAGTAGATTTAGGCAGAGCAATGTGTCATGAGGCTGAGTAAGGAAGAAAAAGAACAAGGGTAGGGAGAGTAAAACATGCACATGCAGGACCAAGCTGCACGGAAAGGAGAGGGCGCATGCGTGGTAGAGACATAAAAATGACAATTCAGGATGTTATGCAAATTAGACATCATGACACACGATACTGCAGTCTGCTTGACGAAATGTGTGTGTTTCATTGTTATCAAACCAGTTTGAAAATTCTACAGTTCATACAAAATGAATGTTTGTTTCGAAATGATGAAACCCTATTTTGGATATTGGCACCTCTTCTTGAAAAGACGAACGTTAGCTCTTGTCATTCACGACGCAATCCATTCCAGTGCCCGTGTAATAACTGTTCCACCAATTACGACTTCGCGGAAACCTACTGATGGCAGAATCGCCAGCAATATGCTCGTGAAACTAATTAAATCGGTGGGTAGGTCTTCGGCTATGCAATCAAGATTTATGTTGTGAAACCAAAAATGACTATGTGATCAATACTTACTACAGCTCTTAAGGGTCCAAGCGGGAAAAAATCAATCAGAAATGTTTTTATTCTACTGGTTTGATTTTAATCTTGTTTTCATTTGACGTGTAACCAGTCTCTCGACAACGACACCGACGTCGTCCACGTCTGCATGATGGGCATCTTTGAATGCTCATACATTGTAGCCACGGCTCTGTCAGTGAACGTTTAAGGTTAAGTTGGACGCTTAGTGGCAGCACAACACAATGGTTGTAAATCTGACAAAGCTTCTTTGTGACACATCCCATCACGTTATATTCTTTTCTTTGACGTGAATACTGTTTAAACAGGTGTTGAACCAAGTTCTCTAAGACTCACTTTCGCGCTTGTATTGTCAATAATTCATCGCATTGCATTTAGATAAAAGTGAGCAAATATTTAATGTCGCCCCCAACTAGAATACTTACCCAATGGGAATACCAGTTTGAAAGAGGCATAGGAGAAAGATCGGTTATAAAGAAAGCGAGCTGACTGTAACTATTTGTTTCTGTAAATATCTTAATTATAAAATCGTTTAACGTCGCATCGATAATATGTAACTATAGCAAAGAGCAAATCATAATCATAAAAGCATCTAGAATATAACAATACAGTAATGTGCACATATTCTGGTTTTACGAAGAAGCCAACTGAAAAAAGTGCATGTCAATACAGAAGATAATTGCTGTAAGTGGAGCTCATTCCTTGCTATGATTAAACAGAGATAGCTTAAATTTGATCAGTTTTCTTTCTGAATGGTTGATTGGATGTTTCTCTAATCGTTCCACTCATGACTTACTAAGCCATAAAGGTAATTAGGGTCTAAAAAGGTTAACGTACGCTTCAGGTATGTCAATGATCTCATGACCATCCATAATGGTCAAATAACCAATTTCCTTCTACTCGACTTGAGTGGAAATAAGTGAGACCAGTTAAACCGCGTCATATGTCATCATGCTTACAGTTTAGAAATGCACAAAAAATAGCATTAAAACAAAACATCCACAAGACTGTATGACAGGACAGATTCAACTTCAATTTTCCAATTGTCAACTTACAGTCTGTCGAGCTATATTCCATCTTCGTCGACTATATCTGACGAATTTTGAGGTGAAGTGAGGAGGGATTAAGGTTGCCTTCAAGATCATTCCACTTCTCTCGGCAGGCGTTTGGTGCCGCCTCTACTGATCCTGCTCTTACATAATCATTGATACCCTTCTCATAACCAATATACTCACTCCTTGTTGACCAGTATTTGCTATATCCCCCTTCATGCCTAGAACCTTTTGACAATAAGTACCATGATTTAACCACATTTGGTATGAGGTCGAACCACCGATTACCCACTCTACGATTCTTGATCAATGTTTGATCAAGGTTTCAACGTCAAAAGGATTAGTTTGAATTCAAAACGTTTCTTTGAAGGCATGGGTGACATTTTTAAATTTGAGGACAGACATGATGTCCGATGCCATTTCCCATTTAAATGAGTATTGTCCAGACGAATACTTGCCTTGCCTTTGCATGTGTGACGGATTGGGCAGGGTAGGCTCACCTTTATATCATCTTTATACGTTAATGATGTAAAACATTCCAATGATACAGTTGGACACTGCAGTTAATAGAAATTTATTCCGATTATGTTAGTTTGGTCCCTTGAGTGAATTGTGCTGATAAATATATCGAAATTATTTTTCACTGATTGTCCCGGCTTCTCTGTACCTCGCTGGTTATTCTCCAGTTTCAACAAGACATTGTAAATGGTGCATTCCGATTGGTACTCCAGCAGTATCGTTCGTGTTCAGTATCAAACAAGAGTGACAGGTATCAAATCTACGTTTGAAACCTCTTATGTAAAATCGCGGTAGGTTCATCTACAATTTTAACAGAGTAATATCGATGACAGTAAATATAGATATGGTTTTCTTCTCGGTCATTCTACACGATATCCGGTACTTTATAGATACCATCTTAACAAGAGATTTTATGTTATATACCTACAGCCAAGTCATACTTGTACATTCATCTCATTTTGCCTACATAGCAATCATACAACAAAACCATTGACTTTACAAGGACAAATACACACTTTTGCATTCAAATTATGAGAGGTGGGTGGACAGGGCATGCCTTTCCTTTTCTCAAACAACTGTTATTATCACTGATTTTTAGTGATCTTTTTATTTAATTTCACCACTGATTTGCCTTTTGTGCCCAATGGAATCTGTTTTGGCAGATAATTCAGACTCGTTCCCAGCTAACAAGTTCACGTTATGCTTTTGTTGTCACAACGTTATGGCCTGACGTTGTTATACGTCCTTTTTACGTCGCCACAAGGTTAAGTTATTTTACGTTGTTTTGACGTTCTATTTAACGTTAATAGTTGAATAGTTTTCCAGTAATGAACAGTGCATAAGAAACAAAGCAGAAATGCACTTCAATGTTTAATCGTCAATTTGCTTGTTGTTTTGGTCGTATGTTTTCTGAGGCTGTAGCTGAATAGTGAGGTAAGAATCTCAAAGTGAAAAGCTTTACAGAAAGCCATGGTGACACCAAATTATAAGAAACGTTGTTACAACGTTGTGAGGAGCTCAAAGCATAGCGTTTCCTCAACGTAAATTTGCAGTGAAGTTATTACGTTGTGACATAGCGTTATAAAATGACGTACTTTTAACGTTAAGACAACGTTGTGTCAGGTCGTTACCAATCTACAACCGTGGCTGAACGTGAGAAAACGTTGTCTGTTAGTTGGGTTATTCTCTGGCGTTGATCTTTACATTTAACATGTAACTGTGAGACACGTATTCTTTCGAATGAAATTATTGAAAGGCATATATAAGTTGGACAAACATGAATACATGACACGTTTTATGAATTAAAAAATGTGTTATCCATGAAACGTGTCATGTATTCACGTATCCTTTCATTGTAATGAACTGATACAGTTAGTTTCACACAGTTACTCTAAGAATTTATAATTCTCAAAATATATTTATATAGTTTGGGTATCAAGAAGATCCACTTTATTAATAAAGATAGTAATAACTGTACTCACAGAATTAAATGAAACACAGTTAATTATACCGTAACAATGGAAAAGCATTTAACTCCATTACCCTTCAAGCAGTTACAAATGTCTGAAAAGTGAAATTTCAAACTGAAAGAATGAAAGTCACCGATAAACCTGCTTGTAAAGTCTGTTAAAAGATATACCAGTTGTATATTCAATATATAAAACAAACTATATATTTCCCCAGGCAGGGTGGTATTTGAACAATTCATCCGGACATAATGGTATTTACTGCGCGACTGATATTTTATGACATTCTATGTTTCACCTTTTAATATCATATGTATTTATTTCGCTAAATTGAATGACATATCAGATATAAGTTTTATGAATCTATAAAGAAATGTCAGTCAAGGATACTAAATGAAAGCATAAAATACTATACACATTAACTATATCACATGATCAGCAAGTGTTAAAAATGCCTCGAGTTTAGTACCTTACTATACTATTGTTAATATCAATGAAATTTCAACATCAAGCAGTCCCGATGAATGGCTTACCGGCACTAATGCATGAAACAATGTTCACATACAACACCGACACATTGAAGACGTGCAAGACAGCTTGTCCACAAATAATCAATACCAACAACGAACATTTTAAGTTACAGTTAAACCTGTTAAAGTTTACTTATAAAACATACGTCAACCTTTTTCTGTTACAAGCTGTCAAAAAGATTCACATGATTTAAAGGGTGTATTCAAGGCTATCCAAAGTCTTTACTTACCTAAACCTGTGTATGTCAGCAGGAGAACTGGCGGGCGCATCTTCTTGGTCTTGCTGTTGCAGGTGAAAGGCTTAAGGTGGGAGGGAACGCTACTATGAAAGGCGGTCGACTCAGAGGCTAGTTTTGATGGGTTCTTAACACAGGCGCTAGGTCATTATGAAGCCGATTAAAGATGTGTTGGAATTCTGAGCATGGCGGTTAGATGTGGAGAAGGTAATGGTGTCTTTCACTGACTTGATGGGGATGACGAGACTGTACACGGGATTTTGTTAGGGAAGGGGATATATGTGTGCTGGGGTTATTTTCAAGTGTGACGTCATTGATGATGACCATATTTGGAATGTGCCAATGTGGTACTTCCTATGAATGGTACGTTTCGTGAGTGACATGCTGGAAGTGATAGAAACAGATGCATCTCATGAAATACGCCCGTTTTTAAGCCAGTTTTAGTTACCGTAGGAGTTAACATGTATTACGAAGTAATTATTTTAATCGACCTGAAACGTTTACCAAAATATCCATCCTGACTAAATCTACAGAGAAATTGGAATTTCATATTCCACTTAAAATAAGAATTATTTAAACTTCCCCTTTCAGAGCTGTTAATTGTGACATGCATACATTCATTCTGATGGGAGACAGTAATATCGACGTGGGAAGAGTCTGTAATGGTTTTATTGAATCGTCACGATTATCTTCAAACCCAACGCCGTGTGTTGAACCTCTGTCTAATCTAATTCGAAGCACAAACGTGATTTGTCTGCTGTTAAACTCTTTGAAGCTGCTCTGGTTTTAAGGAACGTTTTGCTTTCCTCTCCTAAATTTATTCATGAAGAAATACACATGATGGGCTAACGGCCTTGAACATTTGTATAGTTTGTCATTTCAGTAAAATCATAAATGTATTTTAGTGAGAAATTGACGGAACTGACAATCTGCAAGGAATTTACTGTACTAAAGAAAATCGCATATATATTAATCTGTTGGTTAAATCCGTATAACGGTCTAAATTTCGTCTCGCTGAACAAAACCTTGGTAAGGTAAATACATTCTTCCGAATAGAAACGCATAGACGTTTACAAATACTTTTAAACGTGAATATTTAAATAAATGTTATTGATGCAACGATGAAATTTAATATGGTGATAGTCACTTGTTTTAATAACAGTGACATAACAGTATTTCCGTTCTGTCAGAAGTCACGTACGAAAGCCATGTTTTGCTTGGTTGTTGTTTAATGCCATATTCAGCCATATTCCAGCTTAATGACGGCGGTCTGTAAATAATGTAGCCTGGACTAGACAATCCAGTGATCAACAGCATGAACATCGATCTACGCAATTGCTGTGGCCACCGTGTGCTCTTACCACTGCTCTATTTAACATGTTTATGCTGAGGTTGCAGTCGTGTAAGTGTCTGTAACGTTGACGTACAACAGTAAATACTGATTTACTGTTAGATTCCCCTGAATCATTAGATCTCCGTGCGTAGGACATGGCACATCACACCATCACACTTCCGCCGCAGAATCTGTCGACCTGTCGAACGCAGTTCGGTTCATTTCGACGTTGTCGATATGCTTTCTTCCATCTCAGCGTTGGAGAAGTCATCTTGATTCATCACTGACCCAGACTCGCCTCCAATTTCTCAAACTCCATACATGTAGTACAAAGACAATCTGTTGGGTCTTTTGGCCACCTCTTGCAGATTCCGGAATGTCCTGGTAGAAGCACGTCGATGACGTATATGAAGAACCGGGTGTAGCTCCTAATCTACCACTTCTCGGACCATCTTGAGTTGACTCGAGGCATGTATGCCGATCCCATAAACGAGATAATCCCATAAATGATACACACTACATGGTATGTTAAAACGCTGCAACTGCAGCATGGGACTCTCCAGTTCAAGATAGCGATACTGCGACTGGCAACACTGGGCCAGCAGCTTCCCACTTCCAATAAGTCGACAAACATATGACGAGTGAGTGAGTTGAGTTATTTACGCCGCTTTTAGCAATAGTCCAGCAATATCCGGGGAACACCAGAAAAGGGCTTGACACATTGTACCCACGCGGGGAATCGAACCCGGGTCTTCGGTCTTTAACCACTTGGCTACCCCAACGTTCCCAAACGTATGACGAAATGCTGACTGACTTCTGACCTTTTATAGTCATTTTCACTCAACAGTTTGTCCCAAATTCCAGGTGCATTCTGATATATTTTTTTTCGAAAATTACAACTGTTGTGTTTGTGAACTACATCAGTTAACAAAATGTGATTAACGTCGATCAATCAAAGATACTTCAGTTTTTATGTGAACGTTTAATTAAAGATCTCATCTTCTCCTATGCGGTTCCTGTGTGGAGTGTGTATTACTGCTCACAGCAAATGTCATGACTATAAAATCATTGTACTGACTGACTGAGTTTGGTTTTACGCCGCTTTTAGCAATATTGCAGCAACATCACGGCGGGAGACACCAGAAATGGGCTTCACACATAGTACCCATGTGGGGATTCGAACCCGGGTCTTCGGCGTGACGAGCCAACGCTTTAACCATTAGGCTACCCCACCGCCCCTAAAATCATTGTAAACGGATCCAACACACATTATTCCCTTTATAATTACATATAAGAGCCTCCCATAAAACCCTGACTGGTTTAGTTACATCTGATATAACCGCTGCAACAAGTGCAAAGTAAAGCAAAGTAAACTTTTAAATGAGACAATATCTGATATATTTTTCAAGGACTAACGGAAGTGGTTTAGTCATTGATTTGGTTCGAGATGATCGTAGCCCAGTTGCGTCGATAGTTGACCATAACGTCAAATACTGGTTCAGACGCTATCATTTACAATAAGTGTTTCTACACTGCTTTTCCAGCAGTATAATGACAGGGGAAACAGAAACTGACCCAAAAGAAACTGAGTGAGTTTAGTTTTCCGCCGCACTCAGCAATATTCCAGGTACATTGCGGCGGTCTGTAAATAATCGAGTCTGGACCAGACAATCCAGTGATCAACAGCATGGGCTTCGTTCTACGCAACGGTGACATATGTCAACCAAGTCAGCAAGCCTGACCACCCTATCCTGTTAGTCTCCTCTTACGACAAACATGGGTTACTGAAGACCAATTCTAACCCGGATCTTCTCGGGTCTCCATGTGAGGAATCGTACGGGGCAATCGGCGAACGTTTTCACACTAGTCTACACTATCTCCCCCGATTATTTACAGATAATGTCATATAGCGGGAATAAAAAAACAGTGATCATGATTCGCGTTAATCAAAGAAACAAACAACAGCGAGCATGACTCGCATTAAAAAACAAACTTCAGAGATCATGACCAGCGATAAACAAACAAACAAAAGAGATCATACTCGCGTTAAACAAACAAACAACAGAGATCACAACTCGCGTTAAACAAATATACAAAAGAGATCATGAATCCCGTTAAACAAACAAACAAACAACAGCGGCGATGACTGACTCATGGTCAAAGGAGTAACATCCCACTGCATCGACAAGTTCTGATTTTAATCCAGGATTTGCCCCGACTATGTTCCAACTGAAGGTTCCTACAAGATAACGTGTTCGGTTTTTAAGATATCCCAACATGCTGTTCCCAGAGGCGTTAACCTAACTCAAATTCATGCTGTCTGTATTTTCTAAAACTGTGTACCATTGAATTGTTCTGCTGCAGTATTTTCGCCGTCGTTCATAAGTACAAATGTGGAATTAACAAGATACATCGGGAAATATCGATTGTCGAGACTTCATTCGTATGCAGAATACTGCCCATGTTCGTACCAGGATCCTCTGGTCTCGTCTAAAAGAGTAGACTGACTGACTGACTGAGTTTAGTTTTACGCCGCTTTTAGCAATATTCCAGCAATATCACGGCGGGGGGACACCAGAAATGGGCTTCACACATTGTGCCCATGTGGGGAATCGAACCCGGGTCTTCGGCGTGACGAGCCAACGCTTTAACCACTAGGCTACCCCACCGCCCCTAAAAGAGTACATGATTCCCTGATTACGATCACAGACACCACCTTGTCCGGGTTGGCCAAAGTGATTAACGTCAAAGTCCTGACTGACTACACTCGTTGGTCTAACTCTCAACTGACACGTGCAGGATAACAGAAATTCTGCACAAAACGCATCCATTTCAAACTGAGATACGGAGTCCATAACACACTCTGCTGCACCGTCACTGAACACGGCTCAGATATCCCAATTTCTCAAATTCATTTTGTGTAGGAACAAACCCTTCGACATTGATCGTGTTTGGACATTGTAATCCTCATATAGACCTCTAAACGAGATGAAACAGCAACTATGTGTGTCAGCATCGACACCGATGGCTGTTTTCAACGCAGCACACCATATAACACATACAAGCCCTTCAGTCCAGTAGCTCGTCTTACCCAGTATGAGATCATTGTGGAATCCATATGGAACTTCCTACATACGAGTCACTCGTAAAGGACACAGAAAATTTGCAAAGGTTATTATCATGATGTCAGCATTGAATGAAGCTGCCCCCTTTAATTGGCACCGGTTTTGCAGGATATACTTACGCCTTCGCGAAAACCTGATATAGCACGTTATTGAATAAATTCATAAACAAAAACGCACACTCGTGAAATCGTAGGAATAATGCAAAGAATTCGGCTTTTAACAAAGATTTCATATGAATAAGTAAAGGTTTTGTCACAGCTACTCCAAATTAAAGTGTATATCGAATCTTTATTAAGCTGTTTTCAACGGTCATTTTGTAATCATACAAAGTCCTTGGAAAACAAAGCAGGATACCATTAATTGGATATATTAACGTTTAGATACACAATATTTGATACGAAAGATCACGAATAGAGTCGAAAAACGCCACTGTCGCTTTCGTCACCCACCATATGTCACTGTAGCTACTGTTAGACCATCCCTCAGTAACAACACTGTTTGACTCTCTTTGGTTTGGGGACCCGTGAAGGTCCGGGTTAGGATCTTCAGTAATCCATGCTTGTCTTAAAGGCGACTAACGGGATCGGGTGGTCAGGCTCGCTGACTTGCAATTGGTTGGCACATGTCATCGGTTCTCAATTGCGCAGATCGATGCTCATGCTGTTGAATACTGGATTGTCTGGTCCAGACTCGATTATTTACAGACCACAACCATATAGCTGGAATATGGCTGAGTGCGGCGTAAAACTCAACTCACTCACTTTGGTTTTGTTTTATGTCATT